GGACGGCAAAGTCTCCATAGTGTTCTCTATCACTAGTAGGACACAATGACCAAGATCTATAACGTCCTAAACAGTATCAATTATTAAGCAATTGACATAGTTTAGTACAGTATACCTAGTTTTGTTTTTTTTATATCAGTCAGTTTACCCTTATGCTATAATATCTCTGCAGGTCTATAAAAATCTATTCTACTTTCGTGATTTGCTTTGAACATGGGGTTAGCTTGACACTAGACTAGACATTGTTCTATTTTTCTACGCGTATGGGGTTTTTTTTTTCACTACTTTATGTACCGGTAGCTGTGATGCAGCGGTCCGAGTCAGTTTGACGCTTCACAGAAGCACGCATATGGCATATGAAGAAGTTCGTTTTCCTTGTGGGAAGGGGTTTTTTTTGTTGTTGTTGTTCTTTGTTAATTTTTGTTTAATCAGGTGTTTTCGTGTAATTGTTATGATGTCGAATTTCTCTAATACCCAATTGGACCTTGTGAGTGAGTCAAACTGGCATACCTCCAGAATGATCTAAATTATTGTGTCGCCTTTTTTCTTTTGTTTTCATTCCGACTACCAGAGCTTTGATTTTTTTTTTTCAAATCATATTGAATACTTACTGTGTATGCCATAGAGCATTGTTACCCGTATTTTGTTTCACATTATTCATAAGCAATAATTATGTAAGAATTGTCCATTTAATTGTGCTGTCTACAACTTTATCTGAGACCAGGGCAAAAATTACCCTTGTTTGCGACATCAAATTCTCTCTCCGTTTTGAAAAGAAATCAACCTGAACCTTTTGTTTTTAATGCACGTGTTTTATGCCCCGATTGATACAGTTCAGATTACATGTACTAAGGGAGCAAGCTTCGACTCTGCCTGTTGGGGCCAGCCCGGGCTGAAAGACGTCACAGCAGAAAGATAGAGATGCTCGATAAAAATTCTAACAACACAAGAATCAAACTCAGGCCAACTGCATACAACAGCCAATGCGTAACCGCTACACCACAGACCACGGTCAAACCGATCTGTCGCATGTGAACATAACTGACCGTTGCAAATAAACGTACGGTACAAAACAGCTCCAGATATTGATCTTTCAGAAAAACGTTCCTTTGACTAAATAGAAAGACTGCAATTGGGCATAATCCATCTAAGTAAATAAATAAGTGTGTGGATTTAACATCCCATTCAACACTGTTAGCTTATTTGAGGTGGGACCTCTGAAATTAACATCCGTCTCCAATAGGCCGGAACCAATTGGGTTGAGATCCTGGAAAACTCAACAAAATGACCCGAGTTCAAGAAAGCCCACTTGAGGAAATGGAACCAGGGCTATCCACTCCGTAGTACAGTAGTCTCTGCCTAAACGCACGGTGCTCGGGAGGGCTCCTTAGCGTGTGTTTACACGGAGTGTGCGTTTACATGAACCTTGGTAAAGGGAGGCAGGGACGCAGTCATCTCAATTCCTTATTACTCTAGTAACCTCCCTTGGGGGGAAGGTGTCATTTTCGGCAGATAATGCGACGACACGTGACTGTTTTGTGAAAGATTCCCCGACTGGGGTTAAGAACACAAAGGCGTTGAATGGGGGGAGGGGGGGGACAAACTCAATGTAATGAATTTGCACTATAAACGTCGGGAACAGATAGATCTAGCCTAAGAGGAAACTGTTGGTGATAGTCATAGTCATAGAGACGACGAACCAGCCACGT